GGATATTTTTCCAACGAATTTAATCCTTCTTCATTACTCTTTAAATAACGAGTGACTTTAGAAGTAATCTCACCTTAAGATGATGATGGTTGGAAACTGTCAATTGTTGAAGATGGGTCGCCAAATTCATAATCGTCATCTGAATCTTTATTAGTATTATCTATTGAGGTACCAAAATTCGTACCTTAAATAGATGCTTCTTTCGATACTGCATCCGAAAAGCGTTTACGAATATTCAATTGAATCTCTCACTCAAATGTAGGAGGCCAGCGACCTTTAAATCGTGCGTGGGAAATAGCTGCATCGATGTTAGTATTTGAACAATCAAATGAATTTTTGAAACGCTTATCAATACTTTCAATCATAGCCCTTATTATAGGTTTACAATGATTAGTTTCCTCATTCAGTTGCAACTTCTTTACTTCGTTTTTCAGAGACATTATTTCAGGAATTAGCATGCCGTAATAACATTCATCAGCCTGCAGACGATCAATAGCATTCGCTCATGGAGTTGAGCATCGAAAGAATTCTTCTGAGTATTCAAAACCTATTTTAGTTAAGGGATTTTTTAATTGATCAAAACTATTATCCATTAATTTATTCTTGACGCTTATCAGTTGTTGTAAGCAATCGTAAGTTGAGTTCCAGCGAGTTATAACTGGTCGTATCAATGAAATTTTGAATTCAGATGTGAGCATCTCATTATTTTTTGGTAAACGTAACAACCTCCATAAACACAAACACTTATCAGTAGATAAGCAGGGCCGGTTCTGGATAACTCTGCAATACCGGCCAAGTCAAAAAAATGGGTTCTGATCCGCACTAAATACCGACCGCGATAACTTTGACAATAAGTTACCGACCGCGATAAGTTATCGACACTGATAAATTATCGGCAGCGATTTTTTTTACCGACCTCGATAAATTATCTTCAATGATAATACCGATTTTTTACAAACCGCGATTAAAATTTCACTATCAGCAAAAATAACTGATTTTTTTTCAAAGTTTTGTCAATGTATTGATATTCTCTCAAAATTTGCGCTACCGACTATCAGCTTTTTTCTGGAAATAAATAAATGAAAACAGTAATCTTTTTCGTGTACACAATTTATTTATAGCAAAAAAAAATTTAATTAATACATGAATAATATAATCATAATTATATAATATGTATATTTTCTACAATATTTTATGTTAGTTTTCTCATTTGCTCACTTAAAGGTTTATACTCTATTATTCGATCATGTAAGATCAAACAATAGGCTGATGTGTTAGCAGGAAAAGCTTTTGATGATTCAAATTCCAGTCGAACATCAACTGGTCCTGATTTTAAGGATTCATTTTGTTTAGAACAATCAATTACAACGAGTGGTGCTATATCTATAAATTTTTTTTTCTTGAGTAGAGGTTCGGCTTTTTTACCATCATATGATGTTTGGAAATCTCTATACATATCATATAATAAGGCAAATTGATTGTGACTTATGTCAAGATTCATGCTGCCATATGGATAGCATTGTGAATTGAGGAAAAGTTTAACATCCCTTAAATCACAATGATCGAAATGACTTGCATCTTTTGTAGCATCATTTTTGCGTGCAGTTTGAAATCCTAATATAACATAGCGGGGCTTTTCCAATTGAGTTGATGTTTTTACGACCCATACGTGTTTGGTTATGTTTGGCAGCATTGGATATTCATATAATTCCCATGATCTAAAACTCACTCGAATCGGTAGGTCTTTTGCAATGTAACTTAACAATTCTACTTTCTTTATGTCTGCAACAGTGACATAAGGAATGATCCATTCAATTTTTATGAGCGTGATCGTCTCTTCAGGTTCCGCTGTAGCTTGTACAATTGCATTAAGATCGGTATTTGAACAAGTAAGTATTAATTCATGTTTGGCATTGACAAATATGCGATGATAATCTTCAGCAAATCCCAATAGCATATGTAACGGTATCGAAACATCAAAGTATCCATAATCATTAAATAATCTTTTATTATCAGTTACCCAACCTGCATTATCTAAATAATTTTTTTGACCTGGATGAAGAGATAGATATCCCTTCATGAGACTTGTAAGACCAACCTTTTGACTTCGATCAATCTCAATACCATTCAATTCATATCGTATTTTTTTTAATAAATAGCATACGGCCATATTAACAAATCTTGATGTTGCTGCTACTGCATTTCCGTTAGATTTTGTAAATTTCCTCGTAATATAAAGGGAACTTTTGCTTGGCAACAGACATAAATCTTGATGTTGAACTGAGATATGTAACTCATCATTATTATTATGTGTTGTAGATGCATATGGTTGATGAGCATGCACCTCAATGTGTGTAATAGACTTATCAAATATGACACCTTTTCTTATTGCTAATTTTTCTTCTTCCATGGTAAAAGACATGCAAGACAACACACTTTCACTTTAATTTTGTTGTACTTTTGCGTATTTCTAGTCCCAGACTTTGTAGGAATAATCGATTTTGATAAGTTAATCGTTTGAATTTTTTTCGATGACCGATGGGATTCAGGCATGATATGTTAGTTTTATAGCTTCCCCCTACTATTGGTTTATAAACAATCCACACTACGTGACTGATTTCAAATGTAAACGTATTGTTACAGTTTCACCACGTAACTTTAACCAATTGACCGTCTTGATCAACAATGCGCAGTTGTAAATTATGTATTGTCTGTCCAGTGATTGGAAGATAAATGACGTTTGATGAAACTTCAATGATCTTATATTCTGGTGGAACTGATGGGAAAAATTCGTGAATCGTATGTACCAACTGATTATTCATGTATGCTCCTGTAGTAATATTACATTCAATCCTTAATGCATTGATTTTCAAGATAGATACTAGTAAATCTGATGTGTGAGTCAATTTTGGAAAAATAACTCGTGGACTAAAGCCCAACACACTACCAATAGAATCATGCGGTTTAAAATTTATTGTTGCATTTTCACTGTAAACTTCACTGTGTAGTTCATTATTATTGGGCTTAATAGAAATTGATAATTGAGTATCAGCTTTCTTCAAATAATTTTCAATGTCTTCAATTTCATAGCTTCCTGTGGGTATTTCAATACTTTTATCTTCACCATTGAGTGTATAATAAAATTTATTATTGCCGTTATCAATATTTGGAATGGAATTGAAGGTTAACAAATCCACAAGTCCTAGGGTATATTTTTTAGATGATGATAATTCAATTGGCGGAAAATCAAACGCTTCTAGAATGGACGTAATGTTAACCCATTAACGCCGAAGAATCGTGTTTTTTTTTCTCATTTTCAAGCTAGATTCTTATCAAGACGTTAAATCAACTTAACTTAGTAGACAATCATCGACGAGAGCAATCTGCTCAAGTCAAACAATTCCAAGTCATCTACATGATGATCAATCAACGCTGTTAGCAACAGCAAAAGTCAGAGCCAATTCACATTCAGGGAGTTACATTGCACGAGTGCTCATAGATCCTGGATCAAAGCTAACACTAATCACTTCTCATCTAGCCAATCTGCTGCAACTGAGAAAACGCCATCAGACAATCAACATAAGAGAAGTAGGAAGATCTAAATTCACTCAAAAAACAGGTGTAGTCTTCTGTCAGCTACAATCTCTAACATTCAGTCATTCAATACACATTCGAGCTCACATAATGAATTAGTTGACAGCATGAATTCCAAAGGTGCCATGCAATTATTCTAACAATCATTGGACTCATTTCAATGGATAAAAACTAGCAGATCCAACATTCAATATTCCACAATCAATAGACATTCTACTTGGAGCTGACTTTTATGGACAAATCATCAAACAAAAAATCATATTTTATTCTCCAACAGCTTCTATAGCTCAACTTTTGATCTTTGGTTGGCTAATTCTTGGTCCAGTAGCACCAAATTTATCAGTCAATCACTATCAAATTCATCATGCTACTACAAATCAAGAACCATGAAGACATTCAAGAGTTGCTAACAAAATTCTGGGTCTAAGAAGAAGTTTCTATGTCAAATCAACATCAATTATCATCCCTGGACCAACAGTGTGAAGATTTCTTTAAATCAACACATTCTAGACATTCATCAGGACGATACATTGTTTGAATTCCACTCATTTATTCACCTGCAGCTCTTGGGGACTCCTATACAACTGCGTATCGATGCTTGAGGCGTCAGTTGAGGAGATCAACCAACGAGACTGAATACAACAATCTCTACAGACATTTCATGAAGGAATACGAAGGAGTTAATCAATGGTGCAAGGCGGGCGGCGTCCCCCTTGAAAAATGGCAATCAAATAGTCAATCACTTCTCCAAATAACGTCACAATCATCAGTCAATCAAGGAAAAATCACCTTCGAAGACTGTACCAAAAATTCTTGAACTTTATTAGAATCCGAATTCAGACACATTCACATTCTGATCAAAATCAGTCATTCATGAGTCAACATATTCAAAACGCCTCATTCATTCAGAAGTAGCTCAAAACTATGATCCATTGGGGTTGTGTCACCTATAACGATCACAACTTAGATGTTCCTTCAAGAGCTCTGGCTACACAACCTCAGCTGGGACGAACCAGTCCCACAACAATTCATTAATCGCTGGCTGCTCATCAGAGAATAATTCACACAACTTAAGAAATCATAATTCACAATGGATCCATACAACAAGACATTCAACAGTAGAAATTCATTGATTCTCTGGTGCATCACAGCTCGCAATGGCCGCGGCAGATCTATTCAAAAATCAATTCACCGTCCACAGGGCCCAAAATCACATTCATCCGTGCGAAAACTAAAGTAGCACCAATCAATCAATTCACGATCCCCAGGCTAGAGTTAACAGCTGCGTTAATTCTAGCTAAACTCACAAAGTATGTTCGAGCTATACTCCATAGAGTGGACATACATTCAATTCACTAATGGACGGACTCTTCAATCACTCATTCGTGGATCAATTCAAATGCAGGATGCTGGAAGGACTTTGTCAGGAACAGAGTAGTGCAAATACGAGAACTAGTTGCGGACGCTCACTGGCACCATATTTCTGGCAAGGAGAATTCAGTGGACTGCGATTCAAGAGGCATCACAGCCAATCAAGTGAGAGATTACTCGCTATGGTGGAGGGGACCCACCTGATGAACTGAAAATCAAGAAAATTGGCCAGTAAATTCACCACCAGCTGACGAGGCTTGTAACTTAGAAGCTCGTCCTGGAATTTCACTCATAGCAGCAATTCACGATACAACAATTCAATGGGACTTGGTTAACAGATATTCTAAACTCAACAAGTTACTTAGAATCACCGCCTTAATCATAAAATTCACTCCAAGACTTCGACATTCACCAGTTACCAGTCCTTTAGCATCAATCACAACAGCTGACATCGAAAAAGCGAGAATCTTCTGGATAAAGTCTACTCAAGCAGCACATTTTCACCAAGAAATCAGGACTTTATCCAACAATCAACATCTTCCACCAAACCATTCATTCAACAGACTCACAGCATACGTTGATTCAGAAGGAGTTCTACGAGTAGGAGGACGACTTCAGCATGCTCAGTTGAGTCATGATTCAAAACATCAATCAATTCTACCTCGACATTCACCATTCACCACTCTTGTTATTAGACATTATCATTTAACCACACTACATGGTGGCACTCAACTTACACTCACAACAATCAGACAACGTTACTGGATCATAGGTGGAAGAGCATCAGTAAAAACATTCATTCTTCGGTGCATCGAATGTGCTCGACAAAGAGGCATAAGAGCACAACAACTCATGGGCCAATTGCCACAATCACGTATCACTCCTTCACGGCCATTCTCTCATACTGGCATAGACTATGCTGGGCCATTCACAATCAAAACATCATCAGGCAGAGGAGCCAAGACTAGAAAAGCTTGGGTCTGTGTATTTGTCTGTAGTCTGGAGTCAGTAGTGAAATCACTTAAATTTCATTTGACGAGAACAGTAAAAGAATCACTCTTCACGTTTGAAGAGATCACCACACTACTGACACAAATCGAAGCCATTCTCAACTCAAGACCTCTAGAGCCAATCAGTGATGACTCAGAAGACATTCAAGCACTCACTCCTGGACACTTTCTTATTGGGTCAGCAATCAACACTGTTCCTGAACCATCAACCTCAGAACCTGCACATTCAATTCAAAATCGATGGCGGATCATTCAACGACAATCACAGCAGTTTTGATACAGGTGGTCACAATCTTACTTACTAAAATTACAAGCTATTTCTAAGTGGTTTTTGAGGAACAGAACAATTCAAGTTGGTGCATTAGCCTTGCTAACAGATGAAAGATTTCCCCCCTCCACGAAATGGCCACTCGTGAGGATAATTCAACTACACCCAGGGCAAGATGGGCTTCCACGAGTAGCAACGGTGAAGACACCAACAACGACGTTGGTCAGACCAATCGTCAAGCTAGCCATTCTACCAATCAACCCAACTCCTGAAGCCCAGCAGCAGAATCAACCAGAAGACAATCATCAACCAGTTGCTGATGGCGGGCGGCATGTTGAGAATTGATTAATTCTCAATTTGAATTTGCCAGCTGACAGGAACTTCGGCGGCCATCTTGAGACTGGGTCGATAACCAATCGACCTAATAATCAATAATTCTTTATCTAGTCACTCATTTGACTACTTTTGAGTGTCCCTTTTGACTAATGAAGTTCCTGTCGCCATTCTTCCACTGTTCTCGTTCACCTTTACACGCCATTCTTATTCATTCTTCACAAATCTTACAAGTTTGAGTCAATCATCAGTACTAGTGCTATTGTAAATCATCAGAAACATTCAGGCTTTACTCTAAATCTATAATCAAGTAATATTTCACGATATTTCATTGTAAATTCAAGACATTTCATCAAATTCATTTTGCATTGCATTGATAGGCTAACGCCACGTGCACAATCACATTCTTGCTCAACTTGCGAAGCGTGCTGAGCTCGTGTGGGAGGTCAATAATACCGAACACACCAAGTTGAGTAGTTTTTTGGACATTCAATTCAGATTCAACAATTAAAATTAGACATTCAGTGATTTTGAGCGACATTCAGTCTTCCTAGTTAACAACTCAAGTTTGTCAGTATACTTAGTGTACCTGTTAATGCTTAAAATAAAGATACTTTATTTTTTATAAAACCTGACTTCCGTTTGCTCTGTTCTGACACAATCATCCCTATCCTTAAACGGTTAGGTTAATTCACAAGTTGAGATTTTCTCAACAGTATTCATTATTTTTGTAACATGAAAATTTTTTTTTTTAGATTACATTGATTATCGTCAGATTTACATTTCATCAATTGTATGCATTATATTTTTTTTGTTTGACATATAAAATTTTAGATTACATTTCATCATCAACTATGAACTCAAAAGAATTGTTAGCTCCACCATGGTACAACAATGATAATCTGTTGTCAACGGCCAACTCGACCAATTTTTCAAATTCTTTATGATTTTCCAAAATTTTCACCGTTCTTGGAGGTAAAAATATCATGTAGCTATTTTTAACTGTTGCTACAACTTTTGTTCCATACACAGTTTCAAGTTCTTTCAAACCAGTAATTTTATACGTTTTAGACGGTTTTAATGTATCCATCTTTTTGGTTAGTAAGTACGTCGCACACTTGGCAATTTTATTTACTCTTGACAGATCCATTTTTACTGTTTTGAATTATGTATAACAATGTATTTCTCACAGTTTCAATTGATCAGTGATTTTAAACATGAGTTGCATGGGTATAAATACAATTCATCCCCTCCAAAACAAAGATTCCAGAATGTTTCAATTATTGATGCAATCATAAATTAAAACATGCATAAAAAAACGTTTGCATAATGTTTCATCATCATCCCCCGCTGAAAACATCCAGAACATGTCAAGGCTGTGAATCAGCCCTGAGATCATTTGAATTTTTGCTTGATTTTTCAAGAAAAAATCTTGAGGGGTTGGCATGATGTTTCATCATAGTTCTTGCTGAAAATTTCAGACTATCGAAAATTACATGTAATGAAAGAAAAAATACATTTTTATAGACAGTCGTTGTAGTGATCAAACAATAAAATTAAATGTTATAATTTTAAAGTGGGGATAAACATATAAATAGATGATTTACCAAAAAACTTTTCAGTTGGGTTTTACATTTTGGCATGTATACAAATTTTTGAGCGCATCATGGAAATGATATTGGATGTTCAAGGTTTCAAGCAGCCAAATAATCAGTTTTTAGTGAAAGAATTGGCGACTATTACAATCCAAGATAATAGTGATGGTATGGAAGACATTTCAGTGATAATTTTTAAACCGCCATATCAGTAAGAATATTTACCTGAAAAATATGAATGCATAAATTCGTGGTTGATACGTAATTATCATGGCATTCCATGGAAATCTGGAACAATACCATATGATAAACTTCCATACATTCTTCGTGTGCTTGTTAAAGATCGAGACCGTATTTACGAGAAAGGAGATGAAAAGAAAAAATGGTTAGAAAGTTGTAATTAATTTGGATGAGCTTAGATGTCCTTCGCTACATGTTCTGGATATGAATCATCTAAGAGATTGTGGGGTGCATAATGGAGAAAATAAAAAATGTGCAGAAAAGAATGTAAAAATTCTAAAAGCATGGTATATGGTGAATTTTCATGAAAAAACCCCATTTGAGAAGTCATTCAAATTGTATTGTTTATTAAAAAATATAACAAAAATGTCAAATGAAGATATTGCTTGTCTTCCGAAGTATTTTTTCTTGAAGATTGTTCCAGAATACATCGACGATATTTGGAATAAATTACCGGAACATTTACAACTCGACAGAGATATCTTATTGCATCGTAAATGTTACAAACATTACATGTCATAAGATCATACAATAACATTGAGAATTAATTGTATTGATTGTAAAAAAGAAGAATTCATTCAAATACATAAAATGAAAATGTATAATTTTTATTTCTTACATAAAAATTCTTTCTCAAGATAAAAATCTTATTATTATTGTTAAAGAAGTCATTTAACGTAAATAATTATAAATCATAGTTCAGAAAATATAAAATGAAGAAAGATAATAATTTTTCGTTTCAATAATTTTTTTACATTTAAAATACGTTTAGTTATGATTACTCATACAGTAAATAAAATATTTCAATTGATTATTCATAATATGTATTCTGTCTTACTTCAATAAGTAACAGAGAATGAGAGCATAAACAAAGTGAAAAAGAGATAAGGGTGAGGAAAATATGATGCAGTCGACCGACTGAGTCAAACGTTTCTAAATGAAATAAAAAGAAAGAATATGTGTCTAGAATTATTTATTCATAGTAGAGATCGTTTACAAACTATTTCAATAATCAAAAAGAGAAAAAAATGTAATTTACAAATTTTTTTTAGTGAGAATTTTTTCTTGTTGTCAAATTCTTTTCTTTATCTGTAATTTGATGCTGAGTGATGTGATCAAAGCCTCTCTATATAGATTTAAATCAATATCGTTCAATGATTTTTTCACCATTGGCCTCTTTGAAAAATATAAACATTTAGCCATGGTGTATGATGCATAAGACAAAATATTTAGTTCATTTTCGACAGTCAAACTGATCAAACCATACCAAGTAAGTAGTGACTTTTGCTTCATTCAAGTATAAAAAGTGTGTTTTTTTTTTTATTTTTATGCATTAATATAATTATTTATTGAGTGTAATTGTGAATTTTATGAATTGTTAAATGATAATTTATCAAGTGGGAGAATTTTTTTTTTTTAAGTTGGAAAACAATGTATCATAATCGTTATTACTTTTTAGAGAAAAGATGTGCACTTTTATACTTCCGGAGGCCTGGTTCGATCTACCGATCACCCTCCTAGAAATTATTATTCTAATGACACTTAAAGATCTGTAATGTCTAAATGTATTTTTAATTATTTCATATAATTATTTAAAATATATTTTAAGAAAAGCTAAAAATGAATAGCGATAAACTTAAGGATTGAGGTTAACGATTATTACTCAAGTTATTTTTTTTTTTTTTTGAGTTTTCCTAAGATTTCGTTAAAATAGAAAGGATTTCGAAGAATAGTTGAGGAAGTCATTTTTTAGATATTTTATTGCTTTTGGAAAACCCACGTGGCGAAAAGCAATAAAACTCTAAAAAAAGAGTACGTGACATAAGAAGAGCGTTAAGCTTTTCCAAAAAGGGAAAAGACCATGCGAAGGGACTTGTGCGCGCCTGAAGCAAGGGACTTCTAATTATGTCACATTCGACTAAATAAATACGTAAGGTTTGATGCATCAGTCAGTTGTCGAAAAAGTAAGATCGAGATCAGATCGTCGTGGAACATCTCTTGAAATCATAAGTCTTGAGTATTGTATCGATAATACTTCAAAGTTTGTAAATTTTTGCATGAAGTTTATTTGATCGTCAAATTATTTTTAAATTGATATTTAAATTAATTCGCGAGAAAAAGTGAATAATTGCGCTGACTGGAACATCGACTGAGGACCAATTAATTGTAATTCATCTCGACCAGAGTAAAAGAAATCATCTGTTGGTAACGTTTAAATTGTTGTTATAATTTTTCAATAATTTTCATTCAATAAAATTTTGTTATTGTTTTTTATATAAATCACACATTTTTACTTTCTCTATCGAAGATCCCCTCATCCCTGTCTATTGGTCGAAAGGCTAGGACTAAAAAGAGGAACTTAAAGTCTCTAAGGTTAAGCATATGGTTTACATATTGACACCTTTAAAGAGCAAAATTACATAACAATTTTTGGGGGCTCGTCCGGGATTGCAATGATCTTCTATGGAGAAATAGTTTAAATGTCTGATAATTCTGGATCATCTAATAATAATAAAAAAGGTTATTCGTTGAGAAGTACCGGTGACCCGCTATATCCTGAAGGTTTAGCTCCGCCTACTAGACCTAAAAGTTTCAAGTTTGTTGATTCGGGTATCGGTGATTTAACAAAAATATCAGAATCGAGTGAACTCGTTACATCTGACGAGAGTGATAATAGTGACGAAACGATAAATCAAACTCAAGCTCACGTAGAGACGGAAAATTTAGATATAAATATGACGGAACAAAGGAAAATGTCTGATAATCAAAATATATCTCTCAAAGACGCGTTAATATGCATTCCTATATTTACGGGCAAACCAGAAGAATTAATTGATTTTTCAAATTGTTGTGAGGAAGCAAAATGTATGTTACCAGAGCAAGTAGAATCAAATCTCACTAAATTAATTTTTGGTAGTAAATTATCTCCTTCAGTTAAAGATGCATTAAATAAAATAACATATAGCACTGTAAATGAACTCTTAAGAGATCTTAAAAAAGTTTATGTTCCTTCTAAAACACTTTTTCAGTTGCAAGGTGAACTAGGAAGAATGTTTCAACAAGATGTTGAATTAGTAGTAGACTTTGTTAATAGATTACGGAAAAAAGCAAAAGAAATAGTAGAATGTTTCAAATCAAATAATCCGACTGCTACTCCGAATGAAATTCAAATCTATA